TGGCTATATTTCCCAGGCCCATCTTGAACTCCTTCTCTCAATCAGTCCTGCCTTAGCCTCCCAAAGTTCTGCAATTATAAGCATGAGTCATCATGCCTGGTCTTTTTTTTTTTTTTTTTTTTTTTTTTTGAGACAGAGTCTTGCTCTTTCGCCAAGCGACAGGCTGGACTGCAGTGGCGCAATCTCAGCTCACTGCAACCTCTGCCTCCTGGCTTAAAGCAATTCTCCTGCCTCAGCCTCCTGAGTAGCTGTGACTACAGGTGTGAGCCACCATGCGTAGCTAATTTTTTGTATTTTAGTAGAGACGTGGTTTCACTGTGTTGGCCAGGATAGTCTCAATCTCTTGACCTTGTGATCCATCCGCCTCGGCCTCCCAAAGCACTGGGATTACAGGCCTGAGCCACCGTGCCTGGCCTATGCCCAGCCTTCTAATGAAAATCTTGTAAATCCTGAGTTTATAATTTAAAATCGGGTATCAAATTAGACACTTGGCCATTTTAGCTTCAGTTTGCCCTACAGATCAATAGTTGACTACCAATAATACCATAGGTCTCTTTGGTAGGGAGCAATTAAAATTAATGAAAAATTCAAAGTAGAATTTAAAAACGATATTAGGAACAATTTACTAATATGCATGTGGGAAATGTGAGTTCACTTCAGTTGTTTTAACAGAGAGCACACAGAATTTAGAAGTCATTAGAGTCTCTAGAATTTATTTTTAGAGAAATATGGCTCTCCTTCAATATTTGACACATAATGTTGTATAGCTTTTTCTCTGCTTTATCTCTGTTTATTACATTTAATATTTATATGGGCTCATTCTGATGTCTGTTATGTGGTAGTGCCTGAATTGTCTTAGGACATGATAAATTGAAAAATAGGGTTTATAGAGTATGTTTATAGAATTTGTCTCTTAGATACCAGGCACTTCTTTAACTCTGGAGATGATTGAACAGAATTGCTACTAATACCTTTTAGCACTGGAGTCAGATTATAGAGGACTGGAGGATTTCAGATCAAATCTAGTTTTACTTTTTTCTCACATAAAAAAAATCTTCATATTTGCCTTGTTTTCAGCTAGTAAGACTGAAGACTTTGTGGTACCATGTGACATTCAACAAAATGAATCAGTTGAATGACTTACATAGTGTTATGGTATATTATAAAACGTCATTCTTTCCTATCTTCTGGGATTTTCCAGAAGAAACCCTTTGAGAACTAATGGCCAGGTCATTTCACGGTGGTTTATAAATAAGTCTATAATATTTCCAGATATTTAGTCTCTTGACCAGATTTTCCTGAGGTTTAAAAATCAGAATTCAGCTCAGAAAGGATATAATTATGACAAATTGAATAGATTTTATATGGCAGGATTGTTAAGTCTGCTATTATTAAAGATGATTGGAAAACACAAATTATTCATGTTTGAATATAGTAATTTGGGTTGCCTGTGTTGAAGAGAATATTTAATTCAGTATACACCCTCATTCACATTATCTCTTTCTTCTTTCCACCCTCATCCCGCTTTAATACAAAACTACAGCTGTGAACTTTTGGAAGGGGAGAGGGGAGTCATGGGTGAAGACAGCTGGATCATGGATTTGTACTTTGTGACTTTATATTTTCATTCTTTTGCTACTGGGGAAAGATGAAGCAGGCACATTTCCAAAGAACGGCTGACACTACCCATACAAAGACAGTAATTACATCAGTCACTGTAATTCTTTGGAGCTTGTGGATCTTCTTTCACATGTATATGGCAGAGGTCTACCTTGTAGGACTAGGCAAGGGATGGGTGAATATAGATTTTATACATGCCAAGTGTACATGCTAAACCAGGTCCTCACCTTGTCTCTCCAGCCCCCTTTCTCCTTGAGTTCTGTTAGCCAGTGGATGCTAATTTGATAGAAGTAGGATAACTTTTTTTTTTTTTTTTTTTTGGAGACATTCTCCCTCTCTCGCCAGGCCTGAGTGCAGTGGCACGATCTTGGCTCATTGCAACTTCTGATTTCCTGGTTCAAATGATTCTTCTGCTTCAGCTTCCTGAGTAGCTGGGATTACAGGCATGAGCCACAATGCCCAGCAATTTTTTGTATGTTTAGTAGAGACGGGATTTCACCATGTTGGCCAGGATGGTCTCCATCTCCTGACCTGGTGATCTGCCCGCCTCAGCTTCCCAAAGTGCTGGCATTACAGGCGTGAATCACCACGCCTAGCTGAAGTAGGATAACTTTAACACAAATGGGTCAAATTGTGAATAGTGAACCTTATTGTTTTCAAACTTGACAATAATGCTATTTATTTAGTACAGGTCTGTAAACTACAGTGTCTGGAGTTTTATGGTGCATTTTAGGATCATGGGACTAGGAAGTAGCTAGAGAAATCTCCTTGTTGGTAACATGTTACTGCCTGGAAAGGAAAATCTGAGGTTTTTTTTTTTTTTTTTTTCTTTTAAGTTTCTGTATCATTTATTTGGCTAATGTATGTTTCCTTTTCACATATCAGGAAACCTAAACCTGGAAAAAAGGTATTTACTGGCTCTATAGATAGGGAGTATCAGATGGTCTTTTGAATTTTTAGAAACTTGAAGGTTTTGTTTCATTTTTGCTTGTTGGTTTTTGCAGTCAATGGAGAAAACTTTTAAGTAATAAAGGACTAAGTTAAACTTCTAAATTCCTTATAACAATCAGTATGCTGATGTTCTGGATGAGATGGGAGACTACCCCAAGTAGATACAATATACACTAAAGAGCAACTTAAGCCTGGACATTCCAGATTACAGTCACTTCTGTCAGAATCATTTGGACAATTTGGTTATTTCAGGTGTCCTGCCTACTGAGATAAAATTAAGAGAAGTGTGTACTGTGTGACAACAAAAACCTCTTTTAGAGGCATTTGTAGGCATATAGAAATGGCTTGAACCATTCATTTTCCTATCATTTCAGAACGGGCTCAGTATTCTGCTGAGAGATTGTTCTCTTCAAGTAGTCTTAGTTAATTAATTTTATTTATTTATTTATTTATTTTTGAGACAGTCTCCCTCTTTTGCCAGGCTGGAGTGTAGTGGCACAATCTCAGCTCCCTGCAACCTCTACCTCCCAGGCCCAGGCAGGATTCTCCTGCCTGAGCCTCCCGAGTAGCTGGGATTACAGGCAAACTCTACCTCTCCAGCTACTTTTACCATGTTGGGGTTTCACCGTGTTAGCCAGGATGGTCTCCATCTCTTGACCTAGTGATCTGCCCACCTTGGCCTCCCAAAGTGCTGGGCTTACAGGCATGAGCCACTGCGCCCGCCAGTCTCAGTTATTTAAATCTCTGTTTTTCAAACTGCAAGCTGAGCTCTAGTAACATGTAGGTTTTGATGTAATTAGTCATGAAATCATATAAAGATATTATGGCCAACATTTTTTTTCTTTAATGAAGTAGAATAGAAAAAAATGCAATTCTGTCACTGGTCCTGCAGACCAGCAGCATTACTGTTACCTAGGAGCTTATTGGAAATACAGAATCTCAGATCCCAGCCAGACCCACAGTGTTAGAATATGAATTTATCTGCATTGTAACATAATCCCAACATTAATATTTATGAAACATTGAAATGAAAAATAGTAAAGTTTATTACAAATAAAAACACATTCACTAAGTTGTTTCAGTCTTCTTTGACTGTATTCGTGCACATACAAGCTTAAGCCTTAAAATGTATTTCTAAGGGTTCCCAGTCAAAAAAGTTTAAAGTCTACCATTTTAAATGTGGATGCTGACATCATATCACTGAGTATGTTCTTATGAGTAACTGTGAGAGAGCTATCTTTTCTTGGCATTGACATCATCTGTACAATTTGGTTTTATTTTTTCTCTATCCCACTTTTCCTTCTACTTCACTTTCTTCTGGTTATCTCTTATATGTCTCTGTTCCTTTCTTTGTGTATAATGCACTTCAAGCCTCAAAACTGTACTCAGTGTCATGAAAGCATTTTTCTCAAGTTTTGCTTTGTGGTCAAATATTCTCAATTTACTGGGAAATTAATGCTAATCAACAGGTTTTTTGTTTGTTTGTTTGTTTGTTTTTAAATTCTAGAACCAATTTTGAAGAAGGAAATACCCACGTTTTACCAATGTGCTTTTCTCCTCCATTTGTTATGACTTCCAAATGTCAGATGTTACAGTACTATTTGGTTTGGATATCATTAAATCACTCCGATATGTGCAGATATGTAAGGCATATCTTAAATGCTGGGAACAGAATTTTCAGAAGAAATATGTATAACATTAAAGTCTTACTTTGTATCCCCAGTTGTATTTAAAACAAGTGATTGTTGCTTTAGTTTACTGTGTACTAACCTAACCTAGTGCAGACCAGGTAAAGGAAGCTAACTTCTTATATTACTGTTAAGAGACCTCCTAATTTCCTGGATTTTGACCAAAAATAGAGAAAAGTTATACTAGTTGTACTTAGTGTTTTTTCCATTGACTGACAATATACAGTTCAACTTATGACAAATAAGCAGCTTGACAAATATGTGCCTCTTTCTGTGATTCTGAGACTGGAACCAATGAAAAGCCAAGAGTGTCAAATCAAATTTTTTATCCAGTCACTGTTAGCTAATTTTAACCATTTTGTGTCACACAGCCACACCTCAGTTGCTATTGATCTTACTCTTCTTCATCTGGTTATTCCATTTAACTTATACTTTGTTTTAAAGGGCTTCAGCAGTGAATTTTATTTTATTTTAGATTAGAAATATTACAGGGGTGCTCCAGAAAAGGGAGAAAAATAGAAAATTTTGAATCCCTAACTCTCAAAATTAAGGGCCTTGTTATTACACATCATTCTGTTCATTGGTTATTATCAGACAGTATGTACAGCAGAATTGTAAGTGATTACTAATTTTTTAGTTATTTTTATCCATACTCTATAACAGTATGATATACATGTATTTGCTAATGTTAAATGAGTTTTTCTCTAATTTTTTGTGCATTTTCCCCCCTTTTCCATGAAGGCCATATCTCTTTGGAGCGGGGTGTTTTTCCATAAAAGCTCCATGGTGAGTTCCAGTTCACTCCCGCATGCCTCATTCATTTGCTGTACTCTCAAAAAGTGATTCATTTTGTAGTTTTGTTTCCAGTTGCATGGCCTGATCACAGTTAGATGCACCAAGTTACTGAATAATTTGTAGACGGAACATCAATGTTGATATTTAAGCTTTAGAAAAGCAGTTTTCTTGGTTTCATTTTATTCTTTAAAAAGGAAAAAAAAAAATCACAGAGGAATTTTTTTTAAATAGAAGAATTCTCTCATAATGCTTATAAATAAGACAAGGCTAACACCCAAGTTTAAAGCTTTGAGTATTATAGTGTTAGAAGTTCTCTACATATCATGCATAGCATTTGAGGACATGATTTATTTTGAAATATAAATATATTTAAGGTATGCCAAAAGAGCCTTATAAAGTTTTTGTTGCATTTTACTTGATCCTAAAGAGACAAAAGTTTTGTTTTGAATAGGTATTTAAGAGGCTACATAATGACAAAATAATACTTTACATAAAACCTCCTAAATAATTATTTTGAATTATTAACACATACACATCATAGCTTAATTATTTAGTAATTTCTTCCATATCAGTGTATAGAATATAGCTTTGTTAGTCTTAGGCATGAAGGTCATAGAAAACAAATATAATATATTTAATACTTTCATGTAAAGATGGGAAATAGAATGTGTTAAGAATGATATAAAATGTTTATTGGTTAAGAGTTAGACTGCCTGGGTTATAGATCCCAATTCACACACTTACTAGCTGTATGATATGGGGGAATTTTCTAAAACATTTCTGTTTCTTATTTCCTTATGTATTAAAAGTACCTACCTCATAGGTTCACTATGAGAATTAAATAAACTGATACATATCTCCGTACATGTTAGTATATAACAGTGCCTGGCACATAGTAAATGTGCAGTCACTGTTAGCTGCTACCACTGTTTCTTTTCCAGTTTCAGGGGTAAATACCATGTTTCAAAAGAAGCTTCTTTAAATTAGATTATGTTTTTAACTTTTAAGGATATGTTGGCCAACGGGAAGTTTTGAGAAATGTAAGGTATATTAATTTTATTAATTTAGTCAGAATACTTGAAAAGAGTTCTGCACCTATATGTGTAGTTCTCATAACTGCTAACTAGGAATTGTTCATAGTGTTCTATTACACTAGAAAAACCATTCCAACATTTTTCTATTGGACAAAAAGAAGCTTAAATAGTTTTTTAAGGTTAATTATTATTTGACACAAACTAATTTCAATGTTTATATGCCACAGGAAGATCTGAAAATTTTATTATCACTAAAGAATAGGTGAGATAAAACAAATCAAGATAAAATTTTCCTCCTTGAAAATTATAATTAGACACAGTTTGTAAAACTATTCTAAACAAATTCAGAACATACACAAATGTAAATCTCATGAAAGTTGATCTTTATTTATTTTGTTAACCAGATGTCTTCTAAAAACAAATAAGATACATAGATCTTACTTATGAGCTTTCCAGTGATCGGTGAATTTTAAAGCCACATTCAACATATGACAAAATTTCTTTGTAGAGTAAGCTTAGAAATTAAATTTCATTTAAGGATAAATTATTCTTCTAAGTACAAAGCAAAGAGTTTTAGTATGTTAATAAAGATTGAAGTTTTTGCATAGAAGTAAAAGATGGAATAATAATTGTATGTTAAATAAGAAAAGTTCATTCCTCCAACAACGTATGTACTCCTCACATTTAAGCAAAAGCACTTGTCAACCAGAAATGATTTGAGGTTGAAACAAGATTAAAAGAGCCAGATTAAAGAAAGGGATATATGAAATATAGTAGACTTTTAAATCATTGCCTGTCTTTTAGAAGACTGCTTTGTGGTTTGTTTGATGCCATCGTTAGCTCACAAGAAACTCGTTTTTAGTCACTTATACTAGACTAAAAGGTCCTCCTTTAAAACGTTACTTTCCCAGTGGTGCATGTTTTTTCCATTAAGATCTTAATGAAACCTCAAATTAAGGCAGCAAATGAATATAAATTTGACAACTTCCTCCATGTTGTTTATAAGAGCTCCTTTGTTTTAATAGCTTTTGCTATTTTTCCATGTTATTTAGCATTCAACCTGAGAATTTTTTATTTACTGTTCTGAAATAAAACATTATGCTAAATAAATATGTTTTTAATATATCCATTTATAGGATAATATGTATTTTGGATGAAAAATGAAATTTTTACCTTTCCTCTTAAAATGAAATGTAAATTTTCTACAAACTTTTTATTAGTTTCAAGTTGCAACGTTAACACTTAGCTAAGAATTTGCTTTTGGTGTATCACAATTTCTACTAATTCTTTGTTCTCCATTAAACAAGTTTAGTCCCTTACATTCATGCACTTTCGGATGAGTCAGTTAGAAAATAAAATCATTCCCTTTGGTAACAAAATAAGCGTGTTGGAAAGTGAAAAGTGCATCTTTAACATTTTAGTCACTCTGGACTTACCTGGTATCATATGTCCTCTAGATTAGTTTAACTAGGGTATTTGAGTTTGGATGACTATATAAAATAATACAAAAGAATTCCGCAAGTAACATGCTGTTTAAACATAGACATTTAAGATAATTCCAGTGTGAATTTTTGAATCTGAATTTTTCTTTCAATATTACAAATAAGAATTTATCAAGCTCCTACTTTGCATGTAGTATTGTATTTAAGCTACTGTTATTTTTGAATTGCTTATCAAAAAATATACATGACAGATAGACAATAGGTAGTCCATATGAGTATATTTCTTCCTTGTAAAATGCCTTCGTATTATATAAGGGTAAGTTTTAAAGAATTAAAACTTGCATATTATAAAATTTTAATTAGGATTTTCTAAGAGTTTTGATCAAGATATAAAGAGTTCAATATAAACTAATCTTGTTCTGTTAAATATTTTAAAATTTTACAGTTTCATTTTTTGAAATGTAAAGATTTATATGGAGAGGAGAGTTTAGTTTTAGTTGCCACATTTACACAAATCTGTTAGACCTTTAAGAAAAATTTATGACAGAATAGAATAATTTTTGACAGATTATTAGTATCTTTAGTTATTTAAAATAAAATACTTTCAGTTTTCCCATTTAGATCTTATTTTAGAAACTAAGATTGAGAATGAGAGAAAACTTCTAAAAGAATACAAAGAATATTTTTTCTTCTTTTATAGAAAGCTGTTATACCACTTGTAGCACTTACATCAATATTGGGTCTTACATTTAAACTGAAGCATTGACTGTTCTTTTATGTTTTAAGAAAGGAAGGAAATGGTGCTTCTGTCTCATATTAGCTCCTTCCATGCTTGTGTCCTTCCACACAAGGCACCAGAGCACCTTACTGCTTATCCTGCCATCCACAGATACTCCACATCTATCCTATTGTAATAGTAAAATTATTCACGTGAAGATCATCGTCCTGTAATTTTTAAGCAGATATCATTAGAGCTTTGTACTCTTTTTTTTCTCTTTGAAGTTGAGTGCAGAGAAAAAGTAGGCAAGAAAAATTTAATATGTTGACCTGGCTGAATTACATAATAAAGGCCAAGGGAAGAAAAATGGGGAACTTCAGTAGCCTTTGTAAATACTTTTAAAGTCCTAGTAATGTTAATATCCCTACAACTTCTGGTGATTGCGGTGAAAATGATTCTTGTTCTATGGTTAGACAGTTAAGCATTTCCTCAAAAGAAATAACAAAGAGTTAAAATCCTGATTTTTAATTTAGCATCTTATTTGTTAATTTGGTTATTTGGCTTTTTTTTGCTTGGGCATTTGTTTTTCTTTTGATTACACTGATTTGTATCAGACTCAGTAAATATGATGTTTTGTGGTTGTAATTTCTTCCGGGATGCTGAAAGTTGGATTTATTCCGTTTTTCTTTTATGTTTTGCTCAAAAGTTAACTCAAATTTTTAAAAAACTATTGAAGATGGGGTTATTTATGAGAAGCTAAGAGTAGCAAAGGATAAGGAATTATCAGTAGAAAGGAGTCCATCAGGAGTATGTTTTGTTCTCTTGTACAACTGTTTAAAAAAATGGATGAGTCCACATAATCAGTATCGTTAATCTTCTGGGCACCAATATAAATTGAAATATTATTTTAATATCATTGTATGGGAACTTTACCTGCTTCGAACAAACATGCTCTATAAATGATTAAATAAATGAAAGAAGGCATCCAAACACCCAGAGAAATTTTTTCTAAACTTGCAAATGTTCTGTAATGAGATTTTTTTCAGACCCCTTTAGGAGTAGAAAGGGAGATGTTGAGAACAAGATAGAAAAAGAAGGTTAGCATTGGAGTGCTTTCCTCTGAGGACTGGGTCACCAATCTGTAAATTTACATAATACACAAAGCTAGCATTTTTCTAATACATTCAAATATGTGTCATTTTTCAATGCTTTATCTTTCTGTCAGCATAAGGTTATTTTGTGATAGAAATATTCTAGGTCATTGTGGAAAAGTTCATACATGGTATGTCACTGACACACATTGATAGGAAAGCCCTTCTGCTTCTGCCAAGCTTTCTTGAACCTTTAAAAACTTAGGATGAAGGGCAGATTGAGCCCAAGTTAAAATTTCTAACTTTGAATGTATCCCCATAGAAGATATTTTATTCATAACATTTTTATTAGATTGTTTTTCCTTTTTATTCCTCTGCAAATCTTAAAGACACACACATATTTTTATGTTTCCATTTTTCTGAAATAGCACAGTCATTCCACATTATAGATTGATGATAGAAATAACTTGATACGAATGTATTTACCCAGTATTCTCCATACTCAACACACAACACTATGTTATGTAGCAGGTAGCGAGTTATTTTCAGGCTGAAAACTCTTGACTCCTTAATAAACACAGACTTTTACTGATGGAATTTAAGGCCCTATCAGAGGAAAAAAGAAATGATGAAATACAAAAATAAAAATGATAATTCTTTATGGAAATGAAGCATAGTTATATGATGAAATACTTATTCCTTGTAGGAGATAGTGACCTTATATAAAATAACACTGTGTTGATGCTTTTAACTTGTGTGTTCCAAAACAAAATTGTATGTAACTTGTAGAGGTATAAGAAATTTTAGCTTTTGACATGTGCTGATTAGACTGCAAGCTAATAAACATACAAGAATATTTTTTGCATGTCAGAAAACTAAATTGATGTCCTCTAAGTTTTCTACTTTTTATCATGTTAGAAAGTTGGCCATCTGCCCCCAAAGCAACTATTTTTAAGTATGTTTAGGATGGTTACTTTAGAGAGACCATTATTTTCTCTTAAGAAGTGCCATACTCACTTGTTACTTACCACATGATTTAAAAATAACAACAGTGACATCCAGTAATTTGCAAAGAGCTTTGAGTTTGTCCCAATGAAGCTTGTTGGTACATTATAGTAGCTTTGTTCTCTGATGGTGATTCTAGTAAAAGCATAAAGTCGCATAATTGCAAACTGCTTTCAAGAAACTCTACAACACTTTTATCTCTGCCATTCCGCCAGACCCCATCCTCCCCAAATTTCTAAGGGTTAAAAATGACTAGTGGTGCCTCAAAAATACCAGTTAGAGGAATTTGTCAGTTCAGCGATAGTAGTTCAGGGATGGAAATAAAAGCTTTCAAAGTAACCTTATATTCTCAGGTAATGCAACAAAGGATCATGACCAGAAAGAACAATTCTGATGCCAGTGACCCAGATATCATGGGAAGGTGCATGTTTGTTCAGGTATAGGGCAGAGGAGAGTCTTCCTTTCTAGAAGTAGGTTACTGCAGTGGTGCCAGATGCAAGTATGAAGGGGTGAAACAGTTTACAGAACCAGATTCATTTCCCCTCAGAAGCTTTTTATTTAAAACAACGTCTTTATTCCTGTCACTGGAAGTCTCACTATGACTGGTTGACATTTTAGGCATGGAAGTTTTTTGTTGTGGGAATCATGAGAAGTGTTTTAAGAAATGTTAATGGTAGAAGAGGTTTTTTTCATATGTAGTAATAGGCATTACCATGGATTTTGTTCAAAGAGGGAGACCAAAGGGACCAATCATAGTTGTCTCTGATCCAGATGTAGTTTTCCTTAGAGGAAGATGTTAAGACAAACCTCAGGAAATAAGATGTCTGAGAGACTATTAAAAGTGTCATAGGAACTGGGAAACTGAGATTACCAAAGCAAAGTCTGAATTTTTTGAAGATTAGGTTAGGGCGGAGGGCCATATAGAAGAGTTAGTATTTGCTGAGTACCGTGATATGGGAAAGTACTGCCATGGGAACTTTACCTTCTTTGTCTAATACAGTGGTTCTCAGATTTGAGCATGCGTCAGAATCATCTGGAGGATTTGTTTCAAAACACAGATTGTTGGGCTCCATTCCCAGAGTTTCTGATTTAGTAGATCTGGGATGGGGCCTATGAGTATTTGCTTGCACTCCTAAGAAGTTCTCAGGTGGTACTATATGAGCTGGGGACAGTGCTTTGAGACAATATAATCATTAAAATAATCCTATGAAGCAGACATTACTATTTCTATTTTACACATGAGTAGTCTGAGCTCTGAGAGGTTAAATAACTTAACCAAATGTCACACAGCTAAGAGGTGACAGCACTGGGATTCAACTACATGTTTCTTCCTGTCTCTAAAACTATCTCTTTCCATCCCAACATATTTTATTAAAAGATGAAGGGATAACAAAAATTGAGCAAAATAAGGTAGAAATAATGTTTGACACTGGAGACTGACTTAGCAGAGGGGAACATCAGAGCTCTAGTTTTTACTGTCTCCTACCTGGGCTGTGATCTTGACCAGTGCATGATGAGGCTACTGGTCTATGAATTAGAGAAAGTAATTTATCAAAGGGGGTTGACAAAATTGCTTTGGGAAGCTCTTGATAAACCAAAAGAGAACAGAAATATGGGATTGAAAAGAAGCCATGAGATTAATATTAGAAGCCAAGTATGAAAACTTATTTGTGGGAAACAGGGGAGAGCAACTTCTTTTTAATGGCAGTGGCAGGAAGTAATGGCAGTTACTAAATGTGCCTTCAGACATATGAGCAACAAAAAAGATTTAGGTTTGAGAGGCTATTGATATGTAACTCCATCTTCGTCTTTTTCACTGAACAAAAATAGACACATCATTTTCACAAATTTAAGAAGAAAAAGAGACAACAGGTAGAACGTCATAGAATATTATTGCATTAGATGATTAGCTATGCTCCCCTTACACCGTCTACCTCTCCATGGCATTGTGGCTGAGAAAGCGTTTTCAAGGCTTCATTCTATGTCACCTCATTTTCATCCATGCCATCTCCATTCATTTGTACTGTTAATCCCACGTCTTAGAGATTGGTGCAAAAGTAATTGCCGTTTTTTTTGCTATTGAGAGTAGTGGCAAAACCCGCAATTACTTTTGCACCAACCTAATATATATAAAAATGACGTGCTAAACCATTTTATTATTTTGAGATGTATATGCTGGTACTATTGCTTCACTTTGAAATTTCTAGAGAAAAGTTATCCATCTGAAAAGAACTGACTTGGATTTTGCCAGCACATACTTCAAAAAGGAGTTGATTTTTTTTGGTCTTATAAATGTTGCTCTCTTTACAAAACTCTGGAACTTTGAACTAATTTGACTTTTACTCCAGAACATAGTCTCACATCATCATTTATTACTTAAGGCAAAATGCATGTTCATATTGGAGGACTTGAATGAAGTGGAATTTAAAGGAAAATCTGTCATTACCTAACAGACTGTCATTTCATCATGTTAATTGTTTTTTACTGTTATTTTATTTTTTAAGCAAAGTTAAACCTCCTCCACAAATTTCACCCAGCAAATCGATGGGCGGAGAATTTTGTGTGGCTGCTGTCTTCGGAACATCCAGGTCATGGTTTGCAAATAATGCAGGTCTGAAAAGAGAAAAAGGTATGTATTTTGGCTGAAAAAATAAATGTTCTACTTGTAGTTTTTGCTTCTTAAGGAAAATTGCTAGCAGTTCCCCTAGAATAATCTTGTACCCAATAGTCTGGAAACCATTTTTTTTTAAATGTAATTAATCTGTCACTCTTCAACTAATTACTCAAGTGTAATCAAGAAGAACAACTATCCTCTCAGTATGAACATTAAATGAATTGCCCACTGAGTGACGATTGTGTTTTGTTTTGTTGGTGACAATCTACAGGTGTCTCAATGCTGTCAATTCTATACCCATTTTATACCTTTTACATTTTTACAAGATAGTTTCACACCCTTGTCTATGAAGTATGGAGAGGAAAAGCCTCATTGTCCCTGCTTTAGAGATGAAGAACTTGAGACCAGCAAGTTTAAATATCTTAGCTAAAAGCACTAGTTAGGCAATAGAATCAGAGTTTGAAACCAGATTTTCTAGTGTTAAAAATCTTAACATTAAAAAAAAAAAAATCTCTGCCATGTTTTTTGTTGTTGCTGTTTTGTTTTGCTTTTGAGACAGTTTCACCGTTGTTGCCCAGGCTGGAGAGCAGTGGTGCGATCTCAGCTCACTGCAACCTCCACCTCCAAGGTTCAAGCGATTCTCCTGCCTCAGCCTCCCGAGTAGCTGGAATTACAGGAACCTGCCACCAGGCCCGGCTAATTTTTTGTATTTGTAGTAGAGACACGGTTTTGCTATGTTGGTCAGGCTGGTTTCGAACTCCTGACTTTCTGATCCACCTGCCTCAGCTTCCCAAAGTGCTGGGATTACAGGCATGAGCTACCATGCTCAGTTCTCTGCCATGTTTTAAGATCACGATTAAGAAAAAGAAGAAAGGAACAGCATGCCACTGAGAAATAAGGCTCAGCTTTTGTGGTTACTGTTGCTCATTGGAATTAATATACTGTAGTCCCTCCTTATCTGTGGAGGATACATCCAAGATCCCCAGTGGATGCCTGAAACCTGGGATGGTTTGGAGCCCTAAATGGTACGATGCTTTTCAGTCTAATAACCAAGACAGCTACTATTGGACTAATGGGCTGGTAGCATATACAATGTAGATATGCTGGACAAAGGATGATTCATGTCCCATGCAGGACGAATGGGACAATGAGAGATTTCATCATGCTACTCAGTGTCCCCTTTGAAGTTTATGAATTGTTTATTTCTAGAGTTTTCCATTTAATATTTTTGGACTGCAGTTGACCATGGATAACTGAACACACACCTAAGGAGGGACTACTGTAGTTATTGTTTTTAATCCCTGCTTTGATCACTAGGGTCCATACCTAAAATGTTTATAGGATTAATGCTTTATAGCATGTGATTCCTTATTGCTTCTGTTTAAAGAGAATGCCTACATTCATAAACCAAGTATATCATTTTGAATGTTATGATTTTCCCCTAAATATTTTAGTATTATTAAACTAGGTCACAAACTGGTTGTTATTAGGGCACTTCTCTGGTGAGTTCCACAGGCTGTATTGTTCTTGGCAAAATGGCTCTCCTTTATGCTAACATTGGCAGTCAGACATGAGCCCTTTCTCTTGTTATCGCCTTTCAGTGACCCTTTCCTTGGTAATAGGATCTCAGGCGCAGCAGGTTCCTTACCTAAGTGGGAGAGGATACTGTTAAGTATGCAAGCCTTCCATTTCCTTATCCCATCTTTATTTTTTTTGTTACCTCCTTAGGTTTAATGATGCTATCGAAAGGACTTTTTGTTACTAGTTAAAACCTTCTGTGAAGCTCGATTTCAAATGCTTCTCCCTTCTGTTCTAATTACCTTTTTAACTTGCTACTCCTTTATGGCCCACTGGCTGATCATTAGCCATTTTCTCAAATCAGCTGTAATTGATTCGCCTGACATAGAGATAAGGTGACCCACCCAACATTCATGAGTGATTTTATATGCTCCTAGGTTTACTGTAAAACCCGAGAGAGAGAATTAAACCTGAGTTGGTAGTGAGTACATGTGTATTCCTTATAAAGTCAGTTGATTAGATCCACACTCAGCGCCTGACTTCTCAAAGTATGGCTGAACTTCATTTACCACAGAGGCCAGTGATCCCATGGACAGAAAGAAGAGGATTTGGGGGAAGGGGATGCACATGCATGTATGTGTATGTGTGCTAAATAGACTTTATTTTCTAAAGGAGCTTTAGTTTCACAGTCAAATGAGCAGAAGGTACAGAGATTTTCCATATATACCTTCTGTACCCACACATGCAAAACCTCTTATTATCAGTATCCCCCACCCTGGTACGTGTGTTTGAAATGATGAACCTCCATTGATACACCATATGTTTTTGGTTTTTTTGATCCAGAAATTTAAGTTCTAAATTTAAGTTTTCTGAGAAAAAATAGATGAGACATTAGGCTGATTTAGGAATACAAGTAACCTTTCATGTGAGTCATTTGGTACATTAAAGTTAACTAAATCTTAGTCCATATGTTATTCCTTTTCAGTTAGTCCATTCATTTTTCATAATGTGGGACAAATTACATTGTAATTTGTATTATAGTATTTTACTATATTAAGATTTGGGGCAGAGTCCTATCATTCTTGAAATAAGTTACTTAAGATTGAAAATAGTCTGATATTATAGACATTTTCATATGTGAAAATGTCTAGCATGTACTTACACGAGGCAACCTTTAGGCAAGGAACAAGCACCATATGGAAAAATTCCTTTCGGCCGGGTGCGGTGGCTCATGCCTGTAATCCCAGCACTTTGGGAGGCCAAGGTGGGTGGATCACATGAGGTGAGGAGTTTGAGACCAGCCTGACCAACATGTCGAAACCCCATCTCTAGTAAAAATACTAAAATTAGCTGGGCATGGTAGCGGGTGCCTGTAACCCCAGCTACTTGGGAGGCTGAGGCGGGAGAATCGCTTGAACCTGGGAGGCAGAGGTTGCAGTGAGCCGAGATCGTGTCACTCTACTCCAGCCTGGGCAACAAGAGTGAAACTCCATCTCAAAAAGAAAAAGAAAAAATAATAGTTAGAAAAAAAAAAAAATTCCTGTCTTTTTATTTTCTCTGAGCAGCCTCAAGAAGGAACTATTAAGGTCATTAACTTGTAAAAATTATTCTGTGCTCCTTTTATGCCATCATGACACATCGGGTTCTGTTTCTCTGTTTGTAGATCAGTCCAAACAAGTTGTAGTTGAGTCCCTGTACATTATCAGTTGCTACGGCACCTTAGTGGAGCACATGATGGAGCCACGACCCCTCAGCACTGCCCCCAAGATTAGTGATGACACTCCCCTGGAAATGATGACTTCACCTCGAGCCAGCTGGACTCTGGTTAGGTAGTACCTCCTTTCTTTTTTTCTTTTTAACAGCTTCGTTAAGGTATACAAGATTAAAAGTGTCTAGTTTGATAAGTTTTAACATGCATACAGCTGCAAAATCATCACCACAACTAACATGGTAAACATATTCATAACTCCCAAATGTTTCTTTGTGGCCCTTTGTAATCTCTTCTTCTTTTGCCCCTCTTTGTCTCTACAGATTAGTTTACAGTTTCTAGAATTTTATGTAAATGGAATCATACAGTATGTAATTTTTTAAATCTCACTTTCATCTAGCAAAACAAGCAATACATCATTACTTTTTTTTTTTTTTTTTTTTTTGTGAAAAAATAATCCCACTTTGTCAATCAGACTGGAGTGCAGTGGTCCAATCTCACCTCACTGCAGTCTCCACCTCCTGGGTTCAAGTGATTCTCCTGCCTCAGCCTCCTGAGTAGCTGGGACGACAGGCGCCCGCCATCACACCTGGCTAATTTTTAGTAGAGATGGGGTTTCACCGTGTTGGCAAGGCTGGTCTCGAACTCCTGACCTCTGGTGATCCACCCTCCTCTACCTCCCAAAGTGCTGGGATTATAGGCCTGAGCACCTAGCCCTTCATTACTTTTTCATTTGACGTAATTTACATACAATAAAATTAACCTATTAAAAGTGACTTTTCACAAAGCTGTGCACTTACCACTGCAATCAATTCTTATCATCCTAAAAAGAAACCTCATACCCATTAACAGTTGCTCCTTATTTTTCTCCAACCCGTCATACCTAGGCAGCTGCCAGTTTACTTTCTCTATGGATTTTCCTACTCTGATTATTTCATATAAGTGGAATCATACAATAGGTGACCTTTTGTGTCTGGCTTCTTTCACTTAGCTTATTTTCAAGATCATCCATGTTGTAGCATATATATCAGAACTTTATTCCTTTTTATGGCTACATAATACTCCACTATATGGTTATACTGCCTTTTGTTTATCCATTTATTAGTTTATGGATATTTCTACTTTTTACACTGTTATTAAATAATGTTGCTGTGAGCATTCATGTACAGATTTTTGTGGGGACATATTTTTTAATTGTCTTCTGAATGCACCTTGGAGAATACCTCCGTTTGAACTTCTTTCTCCTTGCCCTTTTGTGTTAAATTTTCTCAGACTTGTACTTCCGCTATTTGCAATCTCATGCTCATTGAAAATAGAGAGTAACATTGAGATAACCATTAAGGGGAACAGAAACTAATATAGATAGATTTCAAGGTTTCTCTGAAAGTGATTCTCTGAGATACAATAGTTAGGCCTTGTAGGAATGTTTATTAAGAATCAGAGTCCATATCAAAAGTACATAATGATTAGAATCTTTATAAGCTATAACCAAAAGGAAAAAATGAAACCTGGAATAAAACCTCTTTAATATAGTTCATCATCCAGGAGAGAAAAAATTGTTCCTGACACGTATGGAAGGAAACAGACAGAAATGGATATGAAAATGATCCTTGTCCTTTTGACATTTTAAAATATTCTTATATTGATTTTTGGAGGCTCCAGCATTCTTTACAACTACTTTACTATGCTGGATTGACCTGATCAATATCTGATTTATCAAGCTTATTTAGGAGTGGGCAGACCTAATTAAAATTACTACACTATCATTGTTGAAATAGTGACTTATTTCAGAACTCGGATGCTAATTTGATCTATAATAAGTTATCCATTTACACAGCTGTGTTTTATTAACCATTTTACCTACTTCATTTTATTTTAAAATATATACATATTTTAAGAATAGAGAGGTCAGAAATTACATAAATTAAAACTACTTAGTTATAACATTTGAATTTTACACCCGTTCAATCTTCTGAATGTCTTGCCTATCCTGTCGGAGGGTCTTCTGCTGTTAAGCTCATATTGACTGCATGTTATTTGCATGAAAGACTGCCACCTTTTTATTTTTTCATAGCAGATGGCCTTGTGTTTCAGGTTTCAGCACATTCATTTTAATGATTACAAGTTTATTTTAATGATCACAAAAATAGTGTGAGTTTAAGTCAGTGTTCATCAGTGATGACAGTCATGGTGATTTACATCCCATTTATTAACCTTAAATATTAATATTCTTCTGCTGTTTCCTTAGAACCCCTCAATGGAATGAATTGCAGCCACCATTTAATGCAAACCACCCTCTGCTCCTCGCTGCAGATGCAGTACAATATTATCAGTTCCTGCTTGCTGGCCGTAAGTAGTTCAGATTTTTTTTTTCCTTTCATATGGTCTATTCAGATTTCATCTTAAAATGCTAGCTTTTAAAGCAAACATTACCACTGGTCCATAGGCCGTAGGCCTTCAATAATTAGTCTGAGGCAAATAAGATATTTAATACGAATATAAGCCATAAGCTTTAGTATGCATTATGTCTCTGACTGCTTATACTCTGTACCTATGAAATATATTCCTGTAGTGATAATAGGTAAGTTGATAGGTAATATCTGGAAGGCTCAAAAATTAAAACAAACAAAAACAACTACCTGAAAATATTAGGATATAATAAAAAGTTTAATAAAGCTTGGAATCTGTTTCTAACATTAAAATTTAAAAAAGCAAAAATTAGCACGGTTAAAAGTGCAACTGTGAAAATTATGCCAGCAGGCTTTTCTTTTGGTAGAATTTTACTTGCAGTAATGAGGTAAAGATTTCAACTATGTTTGTTTGCTTACTTTTATGTTTAAGCATTAACATTTGTAGAGACTGAACCAAGTTCATTGACCTAGATATGGCCTTTTTATATGGAAAGCATTTAAAGGCAATTTAACATTTATTATCCAGTTTGTGTTTATAGAATTAAAAATTGTTTACAATTATAATTCAGTTTTGTAGAGTAGACTGAATCCTTAATTTAATTTGATGGCTCTGAGTATTGCATGTTTTAAAGAAAATTCTTAAAAATCAACATTGACATGTTTTTAATGGAGCTTTGTTGCATTTAACATATTTTCTTGCCCGGTATATTAGAAAGCGTGAATTAAAATAGTTGTCGAATGATTTTATTTTTATCTTTATAATGTATTATATATTATACTGGAAACAAACATTTTATAGACTTTGCTTTCAAGTTATAAAACTCCATAACTGTAATCAATGGTTGGCTGTCTTGCTCTCTCATATAGTTGTTGAACTCTCTCTTCTTCTAGTACATTTTTATTGAGTGCCTACTATGTGTGAGGCAGCTGCGATTTAAAGGTGATTAGTATATCGCTTCTGTCCTCTATGAATTCACTAATTCAGAAGACAGATGTTTAATAATAAAGTAAAATAAAATGGGGTAGGTGTATCAGTGGAGGGTTATAAATTGAACTGTGAGAGCCGTAACGTGTGTTGCCTAAGGCATCACTGAAGGGTAATATTTAGTGGTTTTCAGATTGATTCAAGAAGCAGTGCATATAGAAGTTGTTAGTTTCTAGATTTTTTAAGCATTTATTTAACTATCATATGAACTGGAAAAATACATGACATGAATATGATATGAAATAAGAATCATGAGTACATTTTTCATTACTTCTCAAGGAGCAAAACTAATTGTTGAATTAAGCATAGTTGACTCAGAATTAATATTGGGTTTTGTTTTGTTGATACCTATTAAGTCTGTTTCATAGATATACAATAACAAGTCTGAAATATTTACAAAAATATTGGGGAAAAGATATAGCTATACCTATCTCTTAATTGTTTTTCATTCCAGTGATGGACCTTATTGACATTGTACTATGGTTGATTTTAGCCGCCCTAAACACCTTTGTCTAATTCTCAGAATGACAAAAATCCCCAGGTGCATAATTTAAGAACCACCACTGTTGGCAGTAGTAAGCCATCACATGTTTTCAAGCATAGGAATGACACCATCAGAATTGTATTTTAGAAAGATCATTCTGGCAGCATTGCAGCAGGAAGTTGAGAGGAAGGAAATGGAGGCTAGGTGATCCTAGAGCAAGATGAGACCTTAAATCAGTGCTGTATTATAGAGAAGACAGCACAGACCTGTGAGATGTTGAAGAGTTGGCATAGAAAAGAATTAGAGGCTGGGCACGGTGGCTCACGCCTGTAATCCCAGCACTTTGGGAGGTTGAGGCAGGCACATTGGCTGAGCTCAGGAGTCTGAGACCAGCCTGGGCAACGTGGTGAAACCTCGCACACACAAAAAAATCATACCACCACAGCTACTCAGGAGGTTGAGGCATGAGAGCTGCTTGAACCTGGGAGGTGAAGCTTGCAGTGAGCCAAGATGGTGCCACTGCACTCCCAGCCTGGGTGACAAAGTGAAACTCTAACTCAAAAAAAGACAATTTGAAACTAAGTAGTCACTAATTATTCTGTGGTTTCTAATATAGAATATAGCAGGTTCTTGAATAATGTCATTTTGTTTAACGTCAATTCTTTATAAAGCTGATGACAAAAAATAATCACTCCCTGCCTGGGGCCATTGCCTGTTCTGGAGTTTTCACGTTCTCCCCATGTCTTGATGGGTTTTCAGTGAGTACACAGGTTTTCTCCTTGATACCAAAGGTATGCATGTTAGGTTGATTGGCATGGCTAAATTGCATCTCAGGCTGAGTGAGTATGGGCATGCGTGTGTGAGAGTGCCCTGCAATCAGATGGTGTCCTGTCTAGGGTTGGGTCCTGCCTTATACCCTGAGCTTCCAGGATATACGCTCTGTCCACCCATAACTCTGAATGGGTGAATACAAATTATTGTAAAATAAAAATTCTTCGAATATATGGTGAATCACACAAATGCTCAACAATATTAAAATGTTCACTTTGCAAACATTTATTCCTTGATTTAACTAATCAGCACTTCGAGCTCCATTACTCAGTGATTCACTAAAAAATAAGTAAATAATTTTGTTACTTGTTTTGATTAATCTTTATTAAATGTATATATAGCTCATGCTTATTTTGATGTTTAATATTAAAGCATCTGTGGTCTTTATTCAGAAGTTTACTGATGTTTTTGACCAGAACACAGTATGCCATAGGACCTTAACTGTTGTTTACATCAATTAGCCAATGGTAAAATTGGTTTTGTAATATTTCATTTCACTTAAAGCCACAGTTTGCATGAACTTATCAATGATGTTAAATGAGGACTTACTGTATAATGCATTCCATTTTAGACCTTTTGAGTTACAGAGGGACTAATATTGGGATAAAGATGAAAAGACCTGGGTTCTAGTTCTAAATCCAGCAATAACTTGATAAATGTAGATATCAGTTATTATACTTGCTCTTATAGAGATGTTATGATGATCAGTGAAGTGATGTTAAAGTCCTTTTTAAAATTGTAAAATAGTTTATACATTTAAGCATTATTATAAGCTTTTGTTTCTTATCTCAGAAGAATATATTTTCAAATGATAGACTTCTGGGACTTTTAGTACAATTTACAAAACCCTTTTTGTATTCAGCATTAACAATGGAATACCTGGCCCAGGTATGGTGGCTCATACCTGTAATCCTGGTACTTTGGGAGGCCAAGGTGGGAGGATTGTTTGAGGCCAGAAGTTCAAGACCATCCTGGGCAACATAGAGAGACCCTGTCTCTATCAAAAAAATTTAAAAATTAGCTGAGCATGATGATATGCACCTGTAGTCCCATTTGCTCAGCAGGCTGACGTAGGAGGATCACTTGAGCCCAAGAATTTGAGGTTTCCGTGAGCTGTGATTACACCACTGCACTCTAGCCTGGGTGACAGAGCAAGATCCTGTCTCTTAAGTAAAAAAGAAAGGAATATCTATTCTGTCTATGTGATTCTGATCATAGTGTCAGATAAAAAAATATCTTAGATAGTAATCATAATGCTTCTTTACATTGAGAATGGAAATACAGATGGACTTGATTTTAAAGTCAAGTTTTTGGCCTGGCGCAGTGCGTCACATCTGTAATTCCAGCATTTTGGGAGGTCGAGATGGGTGGATCACGAGATCAGGAGTTTGAGACCAGCCTGACCAACATGGTGAAAGCCTGTCTCTACTAAAAATGCAAAAATTAGCTGGGCATGGTGGCATGTGCCTGTAATCCCAGCTACTCAGGAGGCTGAGGCAGGAGAATCTCTTGAACCCTGGAGGAGGAGGTTACAGTGAGCTGAGATCACATCACTGCACTCCAGCCTGAGCAATAGAGCGAAACTCTGTCTCAAAAAATAGTAATAGTAATAATAATAAGTCAAGTTTTTTTTTACATAAAGAATAACATATCCCAAAACCTAAAATGCAATAAAATAAATAAATGGGAAAAAAAAAAAAGAATAACATATCTCTTTGAGAATGCTGGACATGCTGGTATGTTACATGACTGAAACAATTAAATATGCAAAACATGGACATTTGGGTCAGAGGAGCAAAGGCTTGAAATACAATTGATAAAAGCAATACTAGGCCAGGTGTGGTGGCTCATGGCTGTAATCCCAGCACTTTGGGAGGCCAAGGCGGGTGGATTGCTTGAGGTCAGGAGTTCAAGACCAGCCTGGCCAACATGATGAAACCCTGTCTCTACTAAAAATACAAAAATTAGCCAGGTTTGGTGGCACACACCTGTGATTCCAGCTACTGAGGAGGCTGAGGCAGGAGAATCACTTGAACCTGGGAGACAGAGATTCAGTGAGCCAAGATGATCCTACAGCTCTTCTGCCTG